CTCACAACTCCACCCGGTGTTATCCAGGCAGCATCAGCCGGTTTCGCTTACAGCCAAAGGCTGGGAGCATTACCCAGTTTCGCTTATGAGCAATTGCTCGAGTACAATTTCAACAAAACAACTCAGGAGCCTGGGAAATTCAAGGAACAAATTGACCAAATCCAGGCCTGTGTCCTGCTACCCTGCTCCTAAAAAGAAAAACAAACAAAAGCATCAAGCCGCCAAATCCTTACAAACCAAAAAAACAAAAACAAACTGACAAAAAACTATCCTACCCACCAACCTGATTCTCACTCAAATCAGATTGCACAGACCAAAAACCAACAATGCAATTGAACACCCTATCCTATCTACCTCTAACCGTCGCTACTTCCTAATACACAAGCTCACCCCTCGGCCCGGGACTCCGCCTACTACGACCGAGTGGAACCTGGTTCCTCACAAGCTACATACCTTGTTCTCGACTGCCGGCCTTGGAGGGCAGTAAATCAAATCAATCAACCAATCAGTCAGTCATTCAATGAAATGAAAAAAGAAAAAAAAAGACAAAACGTTAGCTGCGCGAAGCGTTCAAGGCGCGACGAGACACGAACACAAACACACACACATACGAATACAGACACGGACACAGACACACAGAGAGAAACGCATGCACACACACACACACACACACACACACAGGCACACAATGACACACACAGGCACACACTCAAAGGCACGGATACAAGAACGAAGGCACACAGACACAGACAGACACGCGAACATAGACCACACACGCATACACACACAAATACACACACACACACACACACACATAAAGACACACACATAAAGACACCCACACACCCACAGAAAGACACACACGCACACACAGAGGCACACACAGACACAGACGTACACTGAGAGTCACACACACAAGAACGCAGGCGCACAGACACACACAGACATAAAGACACAGGCTTGTAGTGTCAAAAAAATTCCCCAGAACCAGTATAGGCCTATAATCACTTTCGCATGCGCCAGTCGTGTTTACACATACACACACGCACACAAGGACATACACAGACACACGGACACCGACACACACAACGACAAAGACACTCACATACACACGCACAAACACACACAGACACACGCACAGAGACACGCCCACGGGCACACACGGATACACTGACACAGTCGGTGTCTGTATTCGTATGTCTTTTTGTATACCACACACGAACACAGACTCAACCCGTGTCCGTGTTTTAATGTGCATATGTTTATGTGTGTTTGTGTCTGTTTCTGTGCCTGTGTCTGTCTGTGTAGACTAACGCAAGCACACACACACAAAGTCACATTCCCAGAACTGTTATAGGCCTATAATCACTTTCGTCTGTGGCAGTCGAATTCACACGCAAACGCACGCACACAAGGACACAGTTAGACACACACAGACAGACACAACCACACACACAACCAAACACACAGGCACAGACGCACACAACCAGACACACAAGAACACACAAATACACACACACACACACACACACACACACACAGGTACACATACACACAAACACACACACACGCACAGACACAACCATGCACACACTGACAGCCACACACACAAACACAGACACGCAGACAAACACACACACAGACACACATAAAGACAGAGGCCTGAAAGTGGTCCCAAAAGTGTTTAAGGCCTACAAACACCTTCGTATATTTTTTTGCCCGGGCCGCCACACACACAAAGGCACAGACATACACTCACAAGCACACACACAAAAACACAGGCACACAGACACACACAAACATGCAGACACAGACACACACACAGGCATACACAGACACACACACAAAAACATAGGCTTGAAGTGCTGAAAAGTTTCCCCAATAAAATTACAGGCCTATAAAATCACTTTCGCCTGTGCCAGTCGTGTTTACACACAGACGCACGCACACAAGGACACAGTTAAACACGCACAGACACACAAACACTGACACGTACACAGACACACACGGACACAGAGACATACGGACAAAACAAGCAGGGGTGTTAGAGTCCTCTAACCACTCTTGCCATGCTTGACGTTTGTTTTGGATGCCTCTTTGCGTGCAGTCCATTCGTGACGATGAAGACAACCCGGGGTGTGAGGGGTGCGAGAAAGGGGAGGAGTGCAAGAACAACTGGCACAATATCTTCTCGGGGGCAGCCGACGTGCTCCGGAGGGGTTGTGCATCAGAGGCGACCACCGGAGCATAACGCTGTTTAAGCTGCAAGGGGAGAGGATGCTTTTCCCCAATTTGGAGAAGAAGATGAGGAAGAATTTGTTGTAGAAGAAGGAGAGGACGAGGAAGGAGGAGGCGTACGAGAGGAAGAGGAAGGAGAGGAAGAGAAAAAGGAAGAGGAAGGAGGAGGCGCATGCGAGAGAGAAGAAGAAGATGAAGAATAAATCGAAGAAGAAGAAGAAATAGAGGTTGAGGATGGAGGAGAAGAAGACCTAGTGGAGGAGGACGGCAGCTGGCAGAGAGAGTTCCTTGAGTGGAGGGCTGTTCACAAGGACTTCAAGTACTTCTTTTGGACCGTGTACATCACAGCTGGCATAACTCCTGTTCACGTCCAGACCACTGGTAGCGGTGTTTATCTAGAAATCGGCGAAATTTTATTTGCAACGCACGTCAAGGAGAAATATCTCATCGCGGAGTTGTGGGTCATTATCAAGGACAAGGTTGTGAAATGTCTTTTGAAGGGGGATAAATTAATGCCCATGAAGATGTCCATCGAAAACAGGAAATTGTTGACATTAAACAAGATTGGTTGCAAGGTAAATGCTTTCATCTTCCCTAAAATTCCCACTGCATATCTCTCTTTTCAGGAAGTTGCAGAGTCCGCTTCTTTGAAGTCGCAGATCTTCAATTTCAGCAGTGCAGCTTACGCTTGTAGAAGTTAAAGGCCTTCAACTTTTGTAGCTTCCACAGCGTAGCTTCCAGAAGTTTCAGGCCTCTAACTTCTACTACATACGTTCTGCATTTTGGATGCATCTGGAAGTTATAGGCCTATAACTTCCACGTCGTATCTGGCGCTTGTAGAAGGTACACGCCTTCAACTTCGAATGCGTACCTTCCTCGTGTTCATCGCTTCTGGAAGTTATAGGCCTATAACTTTCACTGCGTCCCTTCTATGTATAGGCCTATAACTTTCACTGCGTCCCTTCTGGAAGTTATACACACTGACCCTCCACTATGTTTGGCAGCCTTCGGTCGAAGGACTTTTGGCCAATAAGTAAGAGACTTTCATCTTCCACTACGTCCCTTCTGCGTCTTTCTCGCTTCCGGAAGTTATAGGTCTATAACTTTCACTGCGTATCTTGCGCTTGTAGAAGTTATTCGCCTTTGACTTTTTGAAGTTGCAGACCCGGAATGTGTTACTCACCTTATGCGTTGTTCTATTGCACTTGTTGTAGGCAGTGTTGCTCTAAGTGTATGTTATAGGCCTATAAATTTCTCTAACACACTTGGTCGACCATTGCTTTTTTTTTTTACTTCCAATGTGTTGCGCAACCTTTCGTGGAAGGACTTTCTGACTTTTTACAGCCAAATTTGGACGAGAGACTTCTTCCTTTTAAGTACGCAGAGGAAGCAGAAAAATCACAAACTCCAATGAGGACGACGACAACCACGAGGGGTGGCTCGAAAGCGAGGTCACAGCGCCCCAAAGATGTGATTTCTCCTCAAACCATTGTGGAGTCTTCTGGTGGTCCGGAAAGGGGATCGGGCACAAAGAGGATTTCCGTAAAGAAAACAGTCACACCGGGTCCGCCTCGGAGAGAAGAGGAGCTTCAGGTACCCCAAGGTTTCGTGCCGAGCGAGCGCACGGAAGATTTGATAAAAACTTGGGAGGAGTTGAAGAGTTTGAAGGAGAAGAAACTTTCGCATGAGTCTTTCTACCTGCCAATGAGATGTTTGAAGAGGCCACCCCTGGTGAATAGAAAAAGACCAATAGAGGTGAGAGAGTCGGACGAGGACCATGTGAAGTCCATCATGGACTCCATGTTGAAGTAGCCAACTGGGGATCATCTTCCCTTCGTCGGCCTCGTCGACCCTGCCTAGGTCAGGCGCAAAGAAGACGTGAACGTGACGAAGCTGAGAGCCGACGACTATGACATTTTTGTGCTTGGTGGTGGCCACAGTCGGGAAGCGAGGGAGCGGTTGGCACGCATGAAACCCGGACAACGAGGAGTACCAGTACAATGTCTGCTACGTTTACGTTGGCCTCACGGTCGATGACGCGAGGCAGGTTGCCCACAGGCATAACCTTTTCGCGGGCTACCACAAAGACTTGAACTTCATCGAGAAGCTCAGGTGCGGACGCCAAGTCTTTGAGAGCAGGGGGTGCGTCAAGTCGCAAGAAGTAAAGCTTGATTGCCTGAAAGAAGCAGGGATTCCGAACGCGCCCAAGAAATTGGGGGCCCAGGACCCATTGCTGCAGTGTGCTTTCAAACCCCAAGAAATTTGGGAGCTCATGTTTAAGATCATGAGCATGTGGCAGAAGGGCGAGGTTCAAGGCCAAAAACTGAAGCCGACTGCGAGGAGAGCGGACCAGGATCTGGAAACGAGCGAGTCTGAGGGCGCGAAGAAAAACCAGCGTGGGAAGAGGCTTGATAGGGCAGTTGCGAAGGAACAAGAAATGACGTTTCTTTATCCTCGGGTGCAACTGCAGGGTAACAAAGTCCCCATGGTTGTCGAGGACATGTCGGCGCAACGCTGGATAGCCATGGGTAGTATGGCTCCAGAGAACGCCGTCCCTATCCTCCTTGAGGTCATTGCGAAGCAGATCTCGCTCAAGGAGATGGAGAAGAAGTTCCAGCTTGTCAAACAAATCGCCTACATCTGCAAGGCATTCGTAGTGGGGGTGGGTGCTGTTGACTTCAAGGAGGCCGAGAAGGAGTTTCCTCTCCACACGAAGAAAAAGATTTTGGAGAAGTTCGTTGGTGGCATCAGAAGGGGTCAGACGAGTATCCCTGCACTGGATGACCATATTAAACGGGCTTTGGAATGAAAGAACAAGGAGAGGAGACTGCAAGCAAAGCAGGCTCTTCACGCGTTCCGTTCGAAACCTCTCGTGGAACCGTTCGTCGACTGACGGAGGTGACACACGAGAACGCCTCGGCGGAAGTGAAGATTATCAATGGCGATATGCGCTTTTTGTCAAAGCTGCAGACAGAGAAACTGCCGATATCTTTGGCTATTTTCGACTTCCCCTACGACTTTGCGCACAAGGGACACGCATCTGATAATGAGCCGTTTCCGGAGTCGGATGTTGTGGAGGTTCTTCACAATCTGAATGACGTTTCCAATGCCCCCTTGTGGACAGTTGCGGGATTCTGTTCGGTGGACATGATTCCTTCCATTCGCTCCGTGTTCCGGGCAGTTTGCAATGCAGGCCAGGAGCTTTTGACGTGGTGCAAGCCTAATGTGACGAATCCCGGTGGGCCCCGGCTTGTGAGTGCGACAAAATTATGCGTGTTGGGCTATTACAGCGAGACTGGGCAGCGCGAGATGGCGCACTATCATTTTGATCCCACTGATATGCGTCACAATTCCCAGCTCTTTAATGCTGTGACGCAGAAGTACCATCACCCTGGTAGCGGTGTCCTCTGCCCGTACCAGAAGTCGTATACTTTGTACTCTTGGCTTGTGAACAAATGCTCTCTTGCAGGGGCCTGCGTTCTGGATGGTTTTTCCGGTTCCGGCACAGGGGCCATAGCGTGCGTCAAGGCAAATCGGAATTGCCTTGTGGTGGAGATAAACACCAAGTGCGCTAAGGGCATCGCCACGAGGCTTCTGACAGACATCAGCGGCACACTGCGAAACGCCAAAGCGGAAAGAGAAGGCAACACAAGGCTGCCCAACCTCAAGTTGTCTGGGGATACGAAGTCTGTCGAAAATGAGCTCATGGCCGACGAAGACACGGGCACTGCTGCTGGAGTGGCGGAGAGCGTTGAGGTTGTCGCTGTCGGGCCGTCAGGTGCAAATTTGTCCACTATCGAGGCTGTTGCCGGCCCGGCCGGTGTGCAGAAAACTGCTTCAGCGCCATCTGCTGAGCGTGCTGAGCCCGCTATCGGGTCGGCCGGTGTGCAGCCAACTGCTTCTGTTGTGCCTCTTCGCGGTGAGGCTAGACCCGTCGCTGCTTCCGTGCCTGTTCCCAGCGTTGTTCTTGGCGCTAGACCAGAGGCTGAGACGCAAGCTGCGTCCCGCCCTGTTCCCGCTTCTGCAAATGCTCAGCAGAGTCTCTTGAGCCTCGCCATGAGCCAGGAATCGAGCAGGACCACGGCTGGCGGTAGGAAGGGGCGCAAACGAAAGGCAGGCGGTGAAGAGGTATCGAGTCCACAGGCTGGGGTAACAATTGGCCTCAAGGCCAATACTTGCTCACGGACTGCGAAGTGACTAAGGCGACAACATATCCTTTGGATATAGGCCTATATGTCATGTGTGGACATTCACTTGCGATATAGCCCTATACTACATGTGTGGCCTCAAACCTCTGTCAGTTTCGTGTTCTGCCAACTCTCCCGTCTTGGTCGCTTCTTCTCCTTCCGCTTGTTCTTTTCACCATGTGTAGCCTCAAACCACGGATTGCCCACGATAATGACAAAAGGTCCAGGAGCTGCCGTTTGTTGGCATCAAATAATGATTTGCTTGGTACATTCCGGTCAAAGAGTCAAAGCAGGATCGACAACGATCCATGTAGCAAGGATTGCGCCTCTCGCAATTGGTGCGAGCAGAGAAACCAAGCTTTATTTGTTCACGAGCCTCCTGTTATTATCGCATGGCCAAAATGAGGATTCCTGTGGTTTGTGGTCTAGGAGTTGTGGTTTGTTGATGTCGAATAATGATTTGCTTGGTGCATTCCGGCCAAAGAGCCGAAGCAGGATCGACAACGGTCCATGTAGCAAGGATTGCGCCTCTTGCAATTGGTGCGAGAAGAGAAACCAAGCTTTATTCGTACACGAGTCTCCTGTGGTGTGTGCTACTTTGCCTGGATGCCTCCCAGGATTGGTCGCCGCCCTGCGTCGTCGGAGTGTGTGCTGCTTTGTTTGAATGCCTCTCCCAGGATCGGTCATCGTCTCTTCGTCGTTGGAGCTGTGTGGTTTGGCACATGACTTTGTTTTTTACAGAACTGTTATTATGTAGAGTAGGCTAGCTCTTTGTTTTTAAGGTCGTGGAAGTCGGAACCATGCGCACTTGGTTCGTGGTTTAGACCGCAGTAGGTCGACAATTTTGAGAGTGTCATCATTACTGGGAACCATGTGTTCCGTTGTACATTGTAGGCATTTAGAGGAACGAGGTTTAGGGAGGTCGACCCAGGGGCACTCGGCACAGGTGTGGTAGTTTTCGGGGACGAGGTACTTTAGTTTGCACGTGGAGTGACTTAGTGGAGCATTTCTGGTTTAGTTCTTTTCTCGGATTTGGTTAGTTCTTTTGTTGGACTTTTTTTTTTTTTTTTTTAAAGGCTAATTCTGAGACCCTCTATTTTGTTTTCTAAAGGCTATTTGTGATAAACCTCTCATTTTCATTTGTGAGTTTTTGTTCACTTACCTTTGCGTAGACGGTCACTCTCTCTCTCTCTCTCTCTCTCTCTCTCTCTCTCTCTCTCTCTCGCGCGCGCGCGCGCGCGCGCGCGCGCGCGCGCTTCCTCTCTTGTAGAAGGTGTTTCGGACTAGCAAGACCTTATAGCCCTATATCATTGATCAACTCGCCACATGCACACACACACATATACGCACACACACGCATATGCACATGCACACACATGATTGGTTGATTGGTTGATTAATTGATTGGTTAGATGCACCAGCCTCAAGTACAAACAAAAACATGCAAACACAGACATACACACAAACAGAGATATAGACAGACGCACACTGAGAGTCACACACACAAGAACACAGGCACACAAGCGCACACAGACGCACACAGACAAACATAGACATACACAGACACACAGACATAAAGACAGAGGCTTGAAGTGTCGAAAAGTTTCCCCGAAACTATTAGAGGTCTATAATCACTTTCGCCTGTGCCAGTCGTGTTTGTACACAAACACACGCACACAAGAACACAGTTAGACACACACAGAGACACGGACACACGGACACAGACACACACAACGACACACGCACAAAGACACGCACACAGGCACAGACACATACGGACACACTAACACAGTTCGTGTCTGTGTTTGTATGTTTTTTGTGTACCACACACGAACACACACTCGGCCTGTGTCTGTGTTTTGATGTGCATGTGTTTATGTGTGTGTGTCTTTGTGTGTGTACACTGGCACAGACTAACGCAAGCACACATACACAAAGTCACATAATGATTCCCTAGAACTGTTATAGGCCTACAATCACTTTCGTCTGTGCCAGTCGAATTTACACACAGACTTGGTGGGCGAGTGCACACCATCCCTCCTCCCTTTAAACTCTCTAACCGCACACACACACAATCCACATGTCACACACACATAAATACACAATTCACATGTCATACACACGGACACATACACACACACTCTCTTTCTCTCTCTCTCACCACTTTCTCATGGTTTTCTCGTCGCTCTCTTTCTCCCTCTCTCTCTCTTTCTCTCTCTCCCTATCTCTCTCCCTATCTCTCATCGCCTTTTCAATCCCCACGCCGACCCCGATCGATCAATCAATCGACTACATAAATTAATCAATCCATCGATCGTTCAATCAATCAATCGATCAATCAATCAATCAATCAATCAATCAATCAATCAATCAATCGGTTGATTGATTGATTGATGAAGGAAGAGGACTGACGTTTTCTGTTTTTTTGTTTTTTCATTTAAAGGTCGTCCGTGCTGGGTCAAATTATAGATCGATCAATCAAAAGGTGAACGTCTCTCTCTCTCTCT